TTCTCTGATGACCCCAGGCTACGTGATACAAATGGGAGTGCTCTGCATTTGTCATCCATGCAAGTTTTTGACCAAGGACAGAAATTATTCCAGACACTCATTGGCATGAACTTCACAGGTCTAAGTGGCCAGATTCAGTTTGATTCTGAGAAAAATTTGGGTCGTCCAGCATATGATGTTCTTAACATTGGTGGAACAGGATCACGCACCGTAGGTTATTGGTCAAACTATTCTAGTCTATCAGTTGTACCTCCAGAGATTTTATACTCAAAACCTCCAAACACTTCAACCAGTACCCAACATCTATACAATGTCATATGGCCGGGAGAAATGGTAACTCAACCTCGAGGATGGGTGTTCCCACATAATGGAAAGCCTCTAAGAATTGTCGTGCCTTACCGTGTTACTTTTAAAGAGTTTGTGCATAAAGATAAAGGACCTTCTGGGGTAAAAGGATATTGCATTGATGTTTTTGAGGCTGCCATAGATTTGTTGCCTTACGCCGTTCCTCATGTCTATATTCTGTATGGAGATGGCCAGAGAAACCCCTCTTTCAAAAATTTGGTGAATGACGTCGTCGCAAATGTGAGTTCTTGATTGTGTTATCCACTTTTCTGCATTGACTAATTATGATGATATAATTTGATCAGACTAACTTAATATTTCTTTAATTTACGTTTGTTTACTAGTTACCACAATAGGAATACTAATAAATTTTGAATGTGATGCTGAAACATTTTTTATGATTACTTATATAAGGATACATTTTGCATCTTAGAAATATGATGCAGCTGTTGGAGATGTCACGATTACTACAAACCGCACAAGGATTGTGGACTTCACACAACCTTACATGGAGTCTGGACTCGTCGTAGTTGCTCCTATCAAAGAGCTGAAATCCAGTGCATGGGCTTTCCTTCAGCCATTTACTCTCCAAATGTGGTGCGTAACTGGGGTATTCTTTCTCTTCGTTGGAACTGTCGTTTGGATTCTTGAGCATCGACATAATCCTGAATTCCGTGGTTCGCCAAGGCAACAACTTGTTACAGTTTTTTGGTTAGTAACTCAATCTTATAACCTCTTGTTGTAGAATCAAATGCATACTTTATGTGAAATTTTGCTTCACTGAATGTTCTCGAAGGAAGTGCCTTCATGTGGAACAACTTCTTGTTGCATCGTGAATTCATGTATTTGAATTATAAGTCTAAAGAAACAGCTTTGGAGATAAATAGAGATATTTATTATTAAGAACATTTGCATTCAATCACAACACAGTTGACACTGGTGCTAAGATTCGGTTTTCTCTTTCAGGTTTAGTTTCTCAACAATGTTTTTCGCACACAGTGAGTACATCCTCTTCGATTTGTTTTTTTGAGATCTTCCATATTGTGACTGAAAGCTTGTCCTAACATAGCTGACACTGTTCCTTGTGTGATCTAATAGGAGAAAACACAATGAGCACCTTGGGACGCTTAGTGCTGATCTTTTGGCTCTTTGTGGTTCTAATCATCAATTCGAGCTATACAGCTAGCTTGACATCTATCCTGACAGTGAGGCAGCTGTCATCAGGAATTCAAGGAATCGACAGTTTAATTGCTAGTTCTGATCCAATTGGAGTTCAGGATGGCTCATTTGCCTATAGCTACCTCATTGAAGAGCTAGGTGTTTTAGAATCACGACTCCGTATATTGAAAACAGAAGATGAATATACCAGTGCCCTGGAGAAAGGTCCACAAGGTGGTGGCGTTGCTGGCATTGTGGACGAGCTTCCTTATGTTGAGCTCTTCTTATCCAACAGCAATTGCGTATTCAGGACAGTAGGACAGGAGTTCACGAAAGGCGGATGGGGCTTTGTAAGTTAATCTTTTCCTTAGCATCACTCAACAGACATCAAGTTGCCTATCGAAAACAGCCTCTCTGCCTTCCAAGGTAGGGGTAAGGTCTGTGTACACTCTACCCTCCCCAGACCCCACTTGTGGGATTACACTAGGCTTGTTGATATCGTTGTAGTTGTATATGCACAAACAATCTATTTCGAGCTGATCTTCACTATCCATGATCAGGCATTTCAAAGGGACTCTCCTCTGGCTGTTGATTTATCAACTGCAATCCTTCAACTGTCAGAAAACGGCGAACTCCAAAGGATCCATGACAAATGGCTATCTAAAAAAGTTTGCTCTTCACAAAGCAACCAAGCTGATGATTCTCAACTTTCACTCAAAAGCTTCTGGGGCCTATTTCTCATATGTGCTGTTGCTTGTTTTCTTGCTCTTGTCGCGTTTTTCTACAGGGTATACTGTCAATTCCGGAGGTATGACCCCGAGCCAGAAGACCAGGAGATCAGTGAACCTGAATCTGTACGTCCTAGTAGGCGTACACTACGCTCTGTGAGCTTTAGGGACTTGATGACCTTTGTTGACAGAAGAGAAAGTGAAATTAAGGATATACTCAAGAGGAAGAGTATTGACAGCAAGAAACATCAAGGTCAGAGCTCAGATGCACAACCAAGCTCGCCTGTTTGAATCAACGATTCATTCGTTGGCTTGCTTGTTTCTTGCTCAGTGCAATGTACCTATGGTTAATATGTAAATGATGCATACGTAATTCCTCATCGAATAACCTTCATTTTCAATTTTTCACACACAGAAGGCTAGGTACGTTAGAAGGGGAAAAAATGTATTTGTATACTAGTAGGAGAGAAGATAGATGGAAAAAAAATGGTTAACATTTGTACTTAATTGTCATATAATGATAGTAATTGTTAAAATTTAGATCAACTTTGCTTGTTTTTCCAGTAAGTTTGTCTCATGTTCAGTTAATACTATTAGATATGATACCCAATTTGTTCAGTTATTTGATTTAAGTTCTAACATAATATTGGTGAAGTACGTGTGTTTGAACCATTAATTAGATCAAGTTAATCATGAACCTCTATATGTTATAAGAGCTCCCAAAACAAAGGCGGCTCGAGGACTCAAGCCTCAGACCTCTAGTAATACAGACTTTCATGACTAGAAATCAACGATCTTAAGGTTAGAGGTGGAGGATACTTATCATATGAGCAACTCATCTTATCTATCTTTTTTTAAGTTTAAACGAGGCAAAAGAAGAGTTTCTAGATTTTTTTTGGGAGAAATGTCAAAAATCCACTTTTTAAGCCTAAACTAATACTCTCTTCGTCCCAAAATTTTAATGTCATCTTAATTTTTTTAAAAATTGTATAAAAATAAATATGTCTTTTCAATTTTACCCTTATAGCACTCCATCTTTGTAGTAGACAAATAATATTTTGATTTTCAAAAGACATACTAATAAATAGAAGTAGGTCAATATAATAAACTAGAAAATTTTATTTATTAGTTTCTTTTCAACGTTCAATCAATTTTATTTAGTATAAGTATAAAATCAAATAAAAATACCTCAAACTAAAATATAAAAGACCTTGCATTATTTTTCAATTTTATAATTAAATACTATATATTAAAAAGTAGAGCTTCCCACGAAACATAAACATGTGTGCACGCACATGGTACATCATTAGAATCATAATAATAAAATTCCTCATTAGTGAATTATGGGCATAAAGAATAAAGAGAAATGACAAGCACTAAACAAAATATGTATACAAAAAAAAGGGAGATGAATATATATATATAAAGATGTTTTAACGAATCAATTCCACTCACATGCAATTTTTAAAATTAATTTTTTCTTTTCTTATCTAAACCTGTTAGATTATGTAATGTCAAATTGCCAGACAATTTCAAACCCAACTAATTTATCTTCAATAGATTAATTAATATAAAATTAGTTTAATGTCTCTTCGTTAGGTTTCGTAAGTGGACACAAGGAGAATCAAATTATATTATATGCAGACATGTATTTAATTAGAATTTTTAAAACCTTATGTTTAACTATATTTTGAATATTTTTTTCAAAAAAAATATATAGATCTTACACAGAATCATATTTTATCATCCTCTCAAACCTAAGGAGTAGGTGAAATATGTGTACACATGAGAAAGATTTCTTGGTTACCAAGTTCGAGGTCGAACTTGGAGAGAGGTCTCTAGATTATCTATCTTATTTTTATGCAATTATATTATGTATGCATATCAAATAATACCATGAATATGTATTTTTTATAAATAAAAAATTAAAAGGGTTATAAATTTTAGAGATCTTCCTTCAAGTTTAAGTACATACGATTATCGTTACTTTATAAAAGATAATAAATAATTCGTTGTTAAACTACATCAATGATACTTTGTTCGATCATTTTTATTTGTCACATTTCACTTTGGAAGAATCAGACTATATGGATTTCAACCGATATATTAAGATATGTTCGTTCATCGTATGATTTTCAAACATATAAATTTTAAATATTTTAATTTGTTTCACTTAAAACTCTAAAAATGAATCAAAGTAATTTTTGTAATATGAAACAAATATATCCCCATAATTCATAGAAAATGCAGGTAATTTTTTTTTTTTTGCAGTGACCAAGTAGATCCACAAACGATGGGGAAAAAGAAAAAAAAACGTAGATCCACAAACATTTCCCTCATTCCAATAAGTACTAATTTACCATTTCATCGATCCAAAAAGAAGATATAGACCAGGACATAATCTGACCTTCTGTTCGTACACACACAAAAAAAAGGAAAAATACATCAAAAATAAATATATTTTTTAAGCTAATATTTATGACCTTCGGAACGCGCATATATTCTGCGTGACATAATATACGTAAGAGGTTACATCGGACAAAAATTATCAATGTCATGTAGGACTAATTTGACTATTTGTTTAATTTTATACAAATTTAAGTGTGTATAAGTATATCATATGAGACTAATTAAAAGACACGTTTATATATAATATGTCAAAATATAAAAAACAGTCAACTCTTCTATGTAACGCTGGTAACCGTTATCCAATTTTCCCTTAACCCCATAAAAATAATTAATTAAATAACTTATAGACAAAAAAGAAAATATGTGAGTGTGTGAAAAGTCTCTTTATTTCACTATTTTCATGGTGTCCTTAAACTTAGTGTAAGCTCCTTTTGAGGGTATTTCTCAAAATTCAATTCAAAAACCATAAACAAACACAAATCATGAGGAAGTGTATACTGCTTTGCTACAGAAGAATGTTCAAGCTGAACAAAAAGAGGAAAATAATTTGCAGAGTAGCATCACTTCAAAAGTACGTAAAGTCATTTTGGAACAAAATTGTTGGTTGTTGTATTGGTTATAAGTCCATTAAGTATAGAAAATTGTCACACCGCCACCATTCCTCTTCCATCAACACCACCACCACCGCGACCCCCTCGCCATCTGGCAGGGCGGTTTCCGCCACATTGGAGGATTTGGTTGCCTTGAAGATATGTTTATTGGGTGATAACCAAATTGGCAAGACAAGTTTCTTGGTTAGTCTTTTTTTTTCTTTTTTAGTCTGTCTGTCAGTTTCAAAAGTCTTTCTTTTTTTGTTCGTGTTACTAATGTATGTTGATTAAAGACAAAGTATGTAGGAAAGGAGAGTACTTCAACAACAGGGTTAAATCAAATGGATAAAATTTTGTGTGTTAAAGGGGCAAGAATCTCATATACATTATGGGAAGTTCAAGGTATATTATATGTGTTAAAAGTTTGATAAATTTTGAATTCTGAATCAATAATTACGTGCAATTTCACTTAAGTGTTCTGGATTGGTATGATAACAATGCAGGTGATGTTTCCGCATCTACTCAGATTTCAACAGCTTGTAAAGACTCTGTAGCAATTTTATTCATGTTTGATCTCACAAGTCGACGTACACTGAAGAGGTATACATTTATTCGAATGAAAAATCTATAATAATTCTTCATCACAGGAAGTGCTAAAAATTGTTTTGATGATAAACTGACAGTGTAATTAGTTGGTATCAACAAGCACGACAATGGAATCAGGTAAAAATCATGTTTTCTTCTCTGTTTCTTTCTTCATTATGAAATGTTTCAATGGTATAGTAATTAATTTGAGTTGAATTTGTTGGTTTTCAGACGGCAATTCCAGTATTGATTGGGACAAAGTTTGATGATTTTGTGCAGTTACCATTAGATGTGCAATGGACCATTGCAAATCAGGTATCATCCTCATCTTCTTAGTTTCGCTTCATTTATAAGTCATGAGTTTAAGCCGTACGTACGTACTAGAAACATGATACTCCTATATAACAATTTTCGTTAATCAGAAGAACACTTTTGATCCAGAAACATGAAATATAACAACTTTCATTAATAAGAAGTCATTTTTGATCTAATAGTTTGATGGAAGCGGTAGTTTTGAGCTGAAATATAATTTAATGGTAAATATGAGTCATTACGGATAGTTTAAGGGTATTTTTGACACTTTTCCTTTTAGTCTATGTGACAGAAACCTTATTGTTGTGCAATATGGCATCCACATGACATTCAACAACTTCCGTTAATAAAGACACTTTTGACCTAATAGTTTAACGGGAATGATATTTTTTAACTGAAAAGGATAAATATAAACTATTTCGAATAGATTAAGGATATTTTTGACCCTTTTCTATTTTATTTTTATTTTTTTCATTCAAAACTCATAAGCTCAAAATTTTAATTAGAGTAAGGTTCAATTATATGGAAAAGGAATCAAAATTAATAGTCTGAGCAAATTAAATCCACCATGTATTTATTGGGTACATAAATAGAGATACTTTTACTACTGTATTGTCTTTAATTGTTCTGAAGTTGGACCAACCATAATTGGTTGGGTCATGAAAGGAAAACTGATATTTACAGTGTTTCCAATATGATTTTGAGCAGGCAAGAGCATATGCAAAAGCACTGAATGCAACCCTATTTTTCTCAAGTGCAACATACAACATAAATGTGAACAAGATATTCAAGTTCATTACAGCCAAGTTATTCAATTTACCATGGACAATGGAACGTAATCTCACCATTGGAGAACCCATCATTGACTTCTAGTAAACCTGTAACTTGGACTTTGCGAAGTATTCGGGTTGTAGAAGAGAAGATGCACAAATACCCCCGTGACTAGGTGTGAGATTGACTATGATGGGTCGTGGGTATAAGGAGAGATAAAAGGTAAGCTGAAGAAGTATCAAGAGAGATGACTAAACAAGACATGGCAAATCTACGACATATCGAGAATATGACCTTCAATAAAAAGATACGGAGGTTGAGGATTAAGTTGACATGTGTAGCTTATCGAGAACATGACTCTGAATAAAAAGATATGAAGATTGAAGATTAAGTTGAGGACAAAACCCTAGAAATGAAGATTGGGTTAATAGGTAGTCGAGCACTATCTTGTTCCCTTATTTGTATTGTTATTTTTTTTTATTATTATTATTCTCTTGGTATCTTATTTTTTGATTTGTGTTACTTATTCTGTCTTTGACTTCAATTATCATATTATTTGTTGCTACAATTCTCTTCTCCACTGTTTTCAGCATGACTTCTTTATTATTGTATTTGCTTTACACACTTGATTTTTTACATGTTTTCCTTGAGCGGAGATGGACTATCAAAAACACTGTTTCTGTATTCTCGAGGTATGGGGTTAAAGCTGCATACACACAATTCTCTCCAAACCCCACCTGTCGAATTAATATGTATCTTATTGATCAATTCAAAATGCAGACGTGACTTAAAATGTAATAAAAACAGGAGTAGAACAAAATATTATGAACTTCAGGCATGTAGTCATTGAATATATAACGAGCAGGAACAAAGCATTGGTCAAAATGAACGCAACAAGAAGAGGGAAAAAAAGGACAGAGGCAGTGCACAAAATCAGAATTCTACTTTTACCACATTTGTGGCCAACACTTGCGCAATTGTACCATTGCTTCGACATGAACAGAACAGTATAGTATCTCAAAATTCTATCTGTATCAACATCATTTCATATTAGATATTCGTGCTTATTCAGAAACAGGAAATAAAATAACATGAACTTCCAATCTTCATTGAGGGAAATTTGCGCCATGAACCACCTTCTGAAGTGCAGATTGTTGTCACCAAGTAACACAACCTAGAGTGATAAGATTCATAAACAACCTCATTACAGGTTTAGAAATTAACAAAAACGAAGCTCTACTCAAGGTTCACTTCTCTCTTGGGAGGTTCCAATTGCAAGTAGTAGAATGGCTCAGTAGGCTCTTCCCTGCACAAACATGTTGCATAAATAGTTAGAAAAGCCTTCTCTTTATCACTTAGGAACAGAAACTTGTACAGACTGAAAGCAATAAAGAGAGCTTTCAAATATGGCACCTATTCCAAACAGTTTTCTTCATTTAGTTTTTGTTTTTTTTAGGATTCCCGCTTGTTTATTTGTTTCATTCACGAAATATTTAATATTCAGGCTATAAGGATTGAAAACTATTTTACATACCCTTAAAGTATTCTTCAATGTTTACTGTAATTTTCCCCCAGGGCTCACCTTCTTACAATTTCTCTCTTCAAGTTTATCCCTTTCAAATTTTCAACCCCCAAAATACATCTTCCTTCCACACAATTCATCTCCCATTAATTTCAAAGCTGTCAAAACTGAAGTTCATTGCTGTTTGAGTTGTTCAATCTTTCACATCTAAGCTCAGAACGAACAACCGAGTTCATCATTTTCAAAACTTGATACTCGGGTTGGCTCCAAATTTTGAAACCTATTTGTATTATGTACGAGTAGTCTTCAGGAGTATGTATTTTTAGATAAAAATAACAAATTATTGGTATTCTATAAAGACTAATTGTTTAAGATGTTCAACTTTACTACAATACCTCTTATAGATAAATCAATAGAAAATGTAAGCGAATACCTCTTATAGATAAATCAAAAGAAAACGTAAGCCAACACATAACTTAGAGTAACAAGAGATGTTTTCATCAATCATTTTATTTAAACTGTAATATCTATTAGAAGATGGTTTGCTGTAAGGCTGTGTTTGATGACATATAATGAGATAAGACTAATTATTTCAATGTCAATTATTTCACAGCTGATCTACGGAATAATAATTGAAGTCTTGAAGCTTACCCAGGCTTAGAACGCATGCACCGCCAGAATAGCTTGAAAGGCCCCGGTATCGTTTTAAATGGATTGCCTTCAAAACATGCCTGCATAGAATTACAAATTAGTCAGCTGAAAAAAGAAACGACAAACAAGCATAAAATGCGTATGTTGAACATTATGCTGGGTTATACTAAAAGATGTAAAATGGTCAGTGATGAACTCAGACATTCAAAAGGGTTGAGTATCTGATTCTGAAACCAGGGGCACAATGTAACCAATGAATGGATGGACTGGTCAGGTAACAGGTAAAGATCAAAGGATATTATCATCCTTGACGAGGGATATGCAAACATCTCTTCTTCCTACGAACACTAGATAGAGGGAAAAATGGACAAATAGCCACTTTGCAGACCACTACAGAACAGTAGCTACATTTTAATGCTCGATATTTGAACTACTGCAAATTTGCCTTAGCATAAATTGAATGAGATCATCTTTTTGATAAAGGAGGTAAATATACTAAGCTTCTAGATCTATATACTACATACCACCTACTACACCAATGTAATTTGAAGACATATAAGTGAAAACATGGAACTTATTTTACGGACCAATATGAATCAGAATCAATATGCCAGCAGCGTGTTCGAAAAGAACTATTTAACTAAACAAGAAGCAATTTATTTGAGTATAAGCATCATTATATCAGTATAGGCAGGTACACCACAACTAAATTTCTAATACATAGTCCAACATCACAATGGAATTTCTCTTGATTTTCATTTCTTATATTGTTTGATGAAACTGAAAGAATTGTGTCAGAAGAAACAGGATAAGTTGAAACCATAGGATGAAGGCGGCGGCAACACCAAAGTCAGTTTAAATGGCAAAACTCCAGTTTCTCTTGTAAAAGATTGGACTCCATGATATTGTAGGGAGTTTCACATACAGGTAGCTTACGAATTTGGTATAGAAGTTTGAAACTCCATATCAGTATCCTGGTGTTTCACATGAAGGAAGTTCTGAATCCTAGCACACAAGTTGAGGAGAGCAAGACTGAGATGGCTCGGGCATGTGAAGAGGAGGTAGGTGAATGGGCGAGTAAGGAGGTGTGAGAGGTTGGTTGTAACAGGAGTTGAAAGAGGTAGAACTGTAGAAGTAGGCTGAAGAAGAACTGGGGGAAGCTGATTAGACATGACCTGACAAAACTTCAACTTTCTGAGGACTAAAGCTGAGATAGGAAGGGGTGGAGGCCAAGGCCTAAGAATTAGGCTAGAAGGTTAGTAGGTAACCGAGTTTGGTCACACTTTGGGTGGGAGAAGCAGGGGGTCAGCCTCCTCTACGCTTATTATTAGTAGTAGTATTTAATAATTGTGATGTTCCTCCTCTATGTTTATCATTAGCTAGAAGACTTTTGAATCTTGTAGTCTTAACTAAAGATATGTTTAATGTATCATAATGTCTTTTAATCTTGTGGCCTTAATATGCCGAGCAGAGTGTTGGAACAAAGAGTCGTCAAATTAGAAAACATACACTCTTTAAACTCACTAAAAAGGGAAACAACTCAAACAACTTGAAATCAAAGGAGTAAGAAAAATTTCTGGCCTCAAGAAGATGCAGAATAACACAAAAAGTTCTGAAACCCTCTGAATCATCATATTCCCATAGAGGTGGCTGAAGCCCAGAAACACTCTCCTTTAAAAACCACAAAAATATCCAGTGTCCCAACCAAAACATTGTTACTCTTCATTTACCTGCTTGTAGACTAGTAGTGAAGCTAAATGGTCCTTAATTGGCCCCATCTTTTAGCACATCATGTCGAGTACTGTTTAGAATCCCAAAATTGGGAAGTGTATGGATTGTAGTCTTCCCATATGATACTTGAGCTATATATTAAGGTTCAAAGTTCATTTTCTCGACATGATTAGAACTAGGTCCACCCTAAAGCTGGAATACCCAAGTAATGTTACTCCTCCACCTTCGAAATCCCACATCAACTTTTTCTCTCATTTTTAGTAAATGATAATATAGGCCGAAACAAATTTCAGAGTTTGATCTCCAGGCTTACCACAAATCCAAGTTAATAATATGAGTGCTTTTAGAATCTAAAAAAGGCAAACAAATTACTCCCTCCGTCCCAATTTAAGTGTCTTAGTTTAACTAGAAACAGAATTTAAGAAAAATGTGTGCATTCAAATTTAAAGTTAAATTGGGATGGATGAAGTACTCAATTAGACTGAAATACTAATATCCACCAGAATGGCTACAAAATTTCACTAATCAATATTGATCTGACTATCTAAGAAATGGAAAAGGAACTCAGACCAATAATTTTAAATAAAAGTGCAGATAAAATTCTGACCTGAATAACATCCTCAACACGGTCGTTGCATCTATGAGCCTTAGGTTGTCTGTTATCACCTTCTGGCAAACCCCATGGACTCTCTCTTCTGGGTACTGGAGAACTCATCTTCCTTCTCTACTGTCTGATGTCCTTTCGCCCAACCTTGACAATACAACACTTGTGTTTTCTCCTCCCTCTTAAATCGGGTCGAAATCGGGTCTATCAAATAGAAGGAAAATATTTTCTAATTTTTGTTCTAAAGTAGGGATTCAGATAAAACCGACAAACTGCATCAAATCAATAATTTAAATCAAATTGAGAAGAGAAAACATTAGTGATTTGAGTTAGGCCCGTTTGGCCATGTGATATAGTATCATGATATGGAATCGAGATGAAATTGAAGCTTTGTTTGGACATGCAATATGAAATTTTGGTGTTGTATGTTTTCTCATAAACATAAAAATCCTATAAGTTCTAAAACTATTAAAAAAGCCCCAATTATTTTTTCAATATTACTAAAATAAATAAAAAAAATCATAAAATAAATTATTACAAAGTTATTTGTTATTCACTTAAGTAATTGTTTCATCAATATATTTGAGTAAAAAATGAAACACCTTTCACGTGCTCTTAAAGATTTTATTACTCAAACAATCGTGAAGTGTGAGTTAAAGTGACTATATGTTAGTGAGAATAGTAAATTTTATGTCGGTGAGAATAAAATTTTTTAAAAAGTAATGATATGATTATAAATTTTATTTATATGTGAAATAAATGGTTAGTGATATACATGTGGGGTTGTTTTGACAAATATAAACTCGTGAATCAATTTTTGTATTAAAATAACTCAAATCATGATATGGTATTCTCATATGATTCCATATCATGATTTTTGGAAAATATGGAATCACATCATGATATGGAACCAGCGTTGTCCAAATATTGATTCCACCTCATGATACCATATCGTTATATGATATCGCATGGCAAACGCCTACTTAGTTTTAGTTTGATGTCAAATTGTTTTAATCATCATTGATTTGGTTCGATGTTAACCTAGAAGAATCAAATCAAACTGACAATACATTTATACAAATTTTATAAATACTTCTTACTTTCACATGTTTATTATATTTGTAAGTATTTTCTAAAAAGTTTCATAATTCATGTTTCTTAACATATTTACTTCAATTTTCTAAAATTCCATATGCTTACATTCTTCATTTAGCTGCCACACAGCATTAAGAAAATAAAGTATCTATTCAAAAAACTACTCTAGTTGTGGGATAAATAAAATACACTCTTTTCAACATACTGGCTTGGAACTTAAACTAAGAGCATGCTTGGAAGAATTTGCTTAAAAGCCCTATCCTATCTTACAAATACACTACAAAAGTGATTTAAAACTATTTTAGGCTTAAAAGCACTTTAAAAATGTCGATCCCAAACATGCTCCAAGTCCAAAAGTTCACCAATTATATAACTAATCAACAACCCTAAGTCTTCTTCTATTCTTTAGCTGGATTTTGGTATGTCTAAAAGAGATTTGTACAGACGTATTACTGGAAAACAACATTAAGAACAGTTTTCATATTAGCATAATATTGTTCTTAAAAAATTGTAGTCTTAATACAAGGTTCCAGTTTGATCTAGATATTTTTAACTATGTTTGGTTATATATTATAAGCATCAGTTCCTCTCTATACTTCCATCTTTTAGTCCATCAAGTGTTCAATATTCTCCTTAAATAATTGCACATCAATATGTATCTTGATACATACAGACACGGAAACAAAAACCACGAAACTAAGCATATATTTCAACCCCTAAGATGGTTCAGAATTGCTGTATATTCACATACCAAAAGGAAATACTTATCAGCTAAAAGAAATAATCAACTAAACTTGCAATTTCACATGTATACTAGGGAGAAAAATGTGAAGTGCATGAAGGAATTTAAACATACATCTTCCAAAACATGTTGAGACTTGAGACATTGTAGTTTCCCCTTTTTTCATCTCCCCGTTTCTAACTTTGTCATTTTCAGTCCAAGATAGTTCTCGTAATACCATCAAGAAGTAAAAGACTATACCAATCCAAAGAATTCAATAGAAGCATAGTCAGGTTGAAGGTTTTTGGTGATGTGACTCTAGACATCTGATACTGATAGATGTTATAAATGAGATAGTATTAATTGATTTTAGGAGGTTTTGATATTAATATCCACAAATTCACAAATCAGTAGCATTATATTGGAGAGTGACCTTTTGTACATTGGTTTTACAGAACTCAAATCATAGTCATGCTCAAAGGTCTGCGAATTGGCTAGAGTCTTTTGCATAAGGAAAGATACAAGTGTAATCGTCCTACTTAAATAAAGATAACAAAGTGTAATCCTCCAAAGCAGAACTCAGTTAACCTATTTCAATTTATCGAATTTGTATAAATTTCAGTAACTATATAATCAATCTAACAGAAAATATTAAAAATTAATTCAGCACTCTACATACATGAAGAAGCTGAGGAGATGCGGAACATGAAAACAAGTATATCACAATACTGACGACGACGACAACAACATCAATAGCAACCGAGAAAAGCTTCATCAAGCAAAAAAATCAATTTAGGTTTAAAGTCGAGAAGAAGATTAGAGCAAAAAGTATACCTTAAATTGTAAGCAAATCTTCAGAGTCCAAGGAGGATTGAAATATTACACTTCTCGAATATGTGCGTTTAAATGGAAGAGATTTGGGGTTAAGCACTTCAATAAATTATCAAAAGACTATTTTGCCCTTAGTCCTTCCTTCCTTCATTACTGTGGGATAAATGTGTTCTATTCGGGGCCGAACATAAACACCGAAACATCAAACCGAATTGAAATTTTTTAGAATTTCGATTTTAATATTTCGGTTTTTGATTCGATATTCGATTTATTTTTTTGTATTTTTTGATATTTCAATTCGATTTTTGATACGGATTATTTTGACTTTCAACATTTCGATTTAAATCAAAATATTATACTATAATTTATATTATATTAATTAATAATTATTAATATTAAATAATTTTTTTAAAAAAAGAAACCATATGGCCTATTGCCTTATTCTTCTCTTTCATCTTTCTCATGACTTTTTCTTGGTCTTTCATCTTCCTCTTGGCTCTTTCATCTTCCTCTTCCTCTTCTCCTCTTCCGCCAGCCAGAAGCAGCAGTCACAGCCACGCCGTCCGCCAGAAGCAGCAGCAGCAGCCGCGCCGTCAAGCAGTCAGCAGCAGCCGCGTCTCTGCCATCAAGCAATCAGCAGTCGCGTCGTCCGCCATCAAGCAGCCAGCAGCCGCGCCGTCTCAGGCCCATTAAAAAATCGAACCGAATTAATAAAATTGAACCGAATTAATAAAATTGAACCAAATTATCAAAAACTAAACCGAATCGAAATATTTCGGTTCGGTATTTGGTATACAATTTACAAAAACTGAAAATTGAAAAAACAAAAAAAAATTTGAACCCGAACTGAAATACCGAATGCCCACCTCTAGTTCTATTGGTTTGATTTGAAGTTTATACGATTGTATTGATGTTAAATCGTTATAGAATTATTGAGATATTAGCTTATCGGTTATTGGTTTTTCGATTTTGATCGTTGTCGATTTAGCGGTTAAGATTTGATCGAAAAAAATATTGAAAAAAACTTAGAAATAAGGTGACAAACTAAATAAAGCATGCATCTTGCTCAAACTCAAATACTTTTACATTATAGAATAATAAGTGTTTGAGACAATCCTAAATAAAAATGGGAAACCAAACTCTATGTCAAGAATTTTATATACAAAATGATATAAATATAATTATGTAATTTACTATCGAATTATCAGTCAACCCGTTAACAAAAAACTTCAAACCGTTAAAAATCGATCTGGTAACAAAAAAATTTAAAATTGCTAAACCAATAACTCGATAATGATAAATCAATAATTTTTCTTCGATCGAATCATCAATTTTGAACAGCCCTACTAAAACTCTATCTAGGACAAGTCAACCTCTAAAACAATAATAATAATGTATTTTTCAGGTCCATCTGCAAGGAATTTTATACAAGGATAACACAAGAAAAAATGTGCATTTCTAGACACAAAAAATGACGACTTCAGACAATATATTTGCATTTATATGGTAATCAGCACAACATTATGAGAGTAATTTTTAATGATCAATAATTATCAATCAACTTATTCTTAGCATGTTTTAACTTTATTCATTTCAACTCAATATTATATTAATTCAATCTATTTTAAATTATTCAATTTCAATTTAACTCATTCATTTTGACATAAAACCTAATAAGATTTGATACTTTCGTCTCATCAAAGTATAACTTTTTGTGGGGGCAGCTTAATTTGAATGGATGTTACGTATTGTATTGTCTATACGATGTAGAATGAATGAGGAGGACAAAAGGCAATATTCGAATTGAATGAATTGTATTCGTCTTTTCTGAACAGTATCGAAGAAGTATACCATATTGCTTTGCTGTGATAGTGTATCCATTAGATAACAATTAAAGATTTATATATATAAATATCCAGAAAAATCATATAATCTATTATACAATATATAACAGAATATAATATAATATAGGGATAATGCACAAGTATCCCTCAATCTATGTCCGAAATTTTAGAGACACACTTATAGTATACTAAGATCATATTATCCTGAACTTATTTTATTAACAATTTTCTATCATTTTCGATATACGTGATACTATCTTGTGGGCCTAATGCGGATTAACTTTTTTTTTAAAACTAGTGCCACTTAGACTGAAAAGAAACGAGGTAGATAATTAATTATAAAATAAGTTCAAAAACAATAAAAATTAATATAATATAAATATGTCTTTATAATTTCGGATATAAATTAAGGGATAGTCGCGCATTTTCTCTGTAATATATAATTAACCATGTGCAAACAAAGAAGCATGTTCAAACAAAGTGGTAGGCGTTAACAGGAAAACTGAGACATTATTAGATAAAAGAAATGTTTGTGGATCTTCATTCATTCAGATCCCCTTTTCATGGTAGTGAACTAGTGGGCGACATCTCTAACAAAAAAAACACACATAATTTTCAAAATTCGGTGAACTGTTAGGTGCCTGCCTCTGTTGATTCAAAGAGACGAAGACCAAAATGGGTGCTTTTGTTAAGCTATTGGACTTGCTTCTTTTCGTTTACTTCTTGTTAATCGCCATTGTTGCACCACTCTTTGATGGCCAAGTTGCCCTTCCTAAACATATATTTCCTCCTGTATTGGTTAACCTAAAGAGCTGGTACACTCGACAATATGGTGATTATTTGGTATCTGAGAAACCCCATTTCTTTGTTGGCTTAATCTGGTTAGAGCTCCTCTTTGCTTGGCCCCTTTCCATCCTTAGTCTTTATGCCATTGCAGCTGGAAAATCTTGGATTAAAACTACCTCCTTGATGTATGGTGTTTCCACTCTCACTGCAATGGTAATTTAATTTGCTTATTGTTTATTTTTTGGGGCTAAATGCTATTTTGTCTTGCATGTTTGTGCTAGCTTCAAATTGTCTTGTTTTGGGGTTGATGTTGCATAAATCAGTCGAATTGGATTTAATTACATGGAATTTAGTAACATTATGAGATGAAAGTTGAAACAGATGGATTCTGGGTGGTAGGCTTGATTCATTGGAAAGCTTTAGTTTATCTGAATAAGTTAAGTTGTATTGATATCACCCCTAGGATGAAAGATTGTAACTTTTGGAACTTTTATGGTTGTTGGAAATGATTTGAGAAATTAATGTGAAGGAAGTAGGCGGAGCTTGAGGTTGGTGGAATTAGAGTAGGCCGGAGAAGAACTGAGACAAGACATGATACTATTTCAGCTTAGTGAGGATATGAACCTGATAGCAAAGTGTAGAGGTTGAAAATGAGGGTAAAAGATTAGGAGGTAGCGGAGTGTGGTCCCACTTTATGTGAGAGTGGTTGGGGGCTAGCCTCCTATCCTTATTAGCAGTGTTAAATTTTCTTTTTGCTGTGGCATTAATACACGTGGCTTCATTTGCATTGCATCTTGATAGCTTGCTGTCATATTTACTTACAACCTCGCTTTGATATCTTTTCTTTTGAGACGAAAGCCTATCAGAAATAACCTCTCTACCCCAGAAAGGTAGGGGTAAGGTTTGCGTTCTCCACCCTCCCCAGATCTTACTTGTGGGATGGATATGTTGTTGTTGATGTATGCTTGGAAGTTGGAACTCTATGTTCAGCTTCTCAAGAAAAGTTGGAACTCTAATTTACCACTACAGATCTGCAATGTTGAAGTTCGTTATCTGTTTTCTTTTCTCCAGCTCGGTATCATGGGTACCTTGTTTCTCTTACTTCTGTATCGTAACGTTTACATTTTTACTGTCGATTCTTTTCTTTTCATATATTTTTTTTACTCTTTACATTTCTTTCAAATTTGTTCTGAAAAATGATTTTCTTGAGCCAAGGTTGTACCGGAAACAACCTCTCTACCTCACAAAGGTAGGAGTAAGGTTTGTATATATCAAACCCTTCCAAACACCACTTGTGGGACCATACTGGGTATGTTGTTTCTATCACGGCCATCTTGGCTCCAATCAAGTTAGTCTCTCTGAAAGAGGAAAATTATAGAAAATATATGCAGACATCTTAGCTAGTTTTCTACTGTTTGGTATTGGACATATCCAAACCAATTAACCATCAATCTTACTCGAGCCTCATATTGTTCCTTTTTTCCATTTCTTTCCTCCCCTTTTTGGAGGTGGGTGGGTGTGACGATTAGCAATTAATGGAAACTCAAGAGCTAAAGAAGGTAACATAATGAACATTGGAATAATTCAAGAGCAACAACCAACATGAACATAGGGCAATAGAGAAGAGTCCCAGAAACATAAGACAACAACTTGTCTAGCTAGCGCTTCTGGTTGTCGAGGAATCATTTGTGTTACAATCTTCTTTTCCAGAAATCATCATTATACCTCCCTGCCATCTTGCTGCAGATTGTATCGTCATTTTTGAGTACTAAACTGTTTCCTGATCCTCTGAACTGACACTTAGAGAGGCCGGGCCAGTGCATAGCTCCTTACTGCCTGCCCGCCCACCCACCCACCCAAATTCCTTTGTTAATGTCCAATTCAAATTCAAGAAATTATCCTTTATAATTGTTTGTTATTTGACAATTGAAATATTTATGTTGAAATTGTTCACCGGAACACATTATCTAGCTTAGAAGCACATGATAGATGCTCATTTATTTTTTCCAATATAAATGAGTTTCCAGTTGGAGGATTTGACATGTTCTGTTGCCATCGTTTTAGTTTCAGAATCATGGTTTCATTTATTTGTACATCTTCTCAAATTAAAAATATTTGATCCTCAATGAAAGTAAAATGTCATATTAGAAATGCAGCAGTTCCCAAATTGAGATAGCAGTCAAGTGGAATTGCATCTGCTTATGCCTTGCTTTTCTAATCAATATTGCAAATTTCAGGTGGCGATACTAAGTGAAATGAAGAATTCTGAGAGAGCATCAGACAAGTTGCTGATGATATACTATCCGTTTCTAGGATTTGCTATTTTAGCAATTTTACGTGGTCTAATACCTCATTCTGGCAAGAGTCTGAGCATTGGAAAAAGATCCGTCATAGGCAGGAAGAAGAGGGCTTAATCTTTCAACTCGGAAGCTAGAATTGAAGAGTTTGTATTTCTTTAGGCAGTGATACCTAGAAACCATATCAAGTTCCGTTATTGGTTCCTTTGAGTTGACATTAAGTTTTGATGGCTTGTGCATGAGTTTTCTCGTAAACAATCACAAAGAGTTGTAGTTTCACAAATGCTGACATTGTTAGTTTTAAATCTTGATATAATTTCCTTCTCGTTCTCAACGTTTTGCTGCTATTTTCTTGCTAGAAAGTCTAGCAAAGCACTATATACCAGAAATAGGGACTCCATTTAAGTTTTCTACAACACTAATACAATCTATTTCAATTGGATTAATTGGTTTCTCAACAGATGATTTTGACAGCATTACTTGACGGAAAATTTTAATTAATGGAAAGTATTGAGGAAAATATATGGGATAGACCCTTCTGGGTGGCCCAGTGATTTGAGCTTTGAACTTTCTTGCCAGCGAAAGCAAGGGGTTTGCATTCTGGGTCGAGCTCATTAAACCAAACTTGCTTAGTTTGCGAGCTATTACATAGAAGCGGTTTTAGGGTTTTACCTTGTGCGCACGCAAAGGATGGATTTTCTTGTCATTAAAAAAAAAAAGCAACTACGACACAATATTTTATTGTAGAAAACTTAAAAAAGTTCCTCCAATTAAACTACAAAGAGAGAAATAAAAAAGAAATGCTTCTGGATCTACTCATTATTGACTAGTGAGCGAGATTTCAAAGGTAAACATTATTTGCAGAATTAGCATTACTGTTGAGGGCTGCTGCAAAGAGACGAAGACAAAAAATGGGTGGTTTTGTTAAGCTATTGGACTTGCTTCTTTTCATCTACTTCTTCTTCATGGCCATTGTTGCACCACTTTTTGATGGTCAAACTGCCCTTCCTAAACACATTTTTCACCCTGTATTAGTTGACCTAAAGAGCTGGTATACTGAAGAATGTGGTGATTATTTGGTTTCTGAGAAACCCCATTTCTTTGTTGGGTTAATCTGGTTGGAGCTTCTCTTTGCTTGGCCCATCTGCCTCCTTAGTCTTTATGCCATTGCAGCTGGAAAATCTTGGATTAAAACTACCTCCTTGCTATATGGTGTTTCCACTCTCACTTCAATGGTAAGAAATTTGTTTTTTGTTTATATTTGGGGCTAATTGCAATTTGTCTTGTATGTCTCTTGACTCTGTTAATTGAAGATTATTAGATTGTTGTTCTATCTTCAAATTGTCTTGTTTTTGTGTTTGATGTTTCATAAAATCAGTGGAATTTGATAACAGTATCGGATGAAGCAGATGTATTCTGGGTGATATGAGCTTTTTCTTTTTGGGGGTGGGGAGAAGAAATTGCTTACAATCTTGCTTCGAAAACATGTATAAATAACAACCTCTCTGCCTCACAACGGTAGGGATAAGATCTACGTACACCCCACCCTCACCAGACCCCACTTTTGGAACTGTACTACTACGTATATTCTTGTTGGTATCATGGTCACATAATCAATGTTGCTAATTTCAGGTGGCAATACTAAGTGAAATGAAGAATTCCGCAAAAGCATCAGACAAGTTGTTGATGGTGTACTATCCATTTCTAGGATTTGCTGTTTTAGCGATTTTACGTGGTCTTCTACCTCACTCTAGCAAGAGTGTTAGCATTGGAAAAATATCCGCGATAAGCAGGAAGAAGAGGGCTTAATCTTTCAACTCGGAAGCTAGAATTGAAGAGTTTATATTTCTTTTCGCATTGATCTTTCAATTTCAACTCTAGAAACCATATCAGTTCTTTTTTCTGTTTCCCTAGCTAATATAAAGTTCTGATGCTATCTTGTGTATGAGTTTTAAGGTCTCGAGTCCTGCACCAAACAAATTAAATTCAGTATTTAAGTGGACAAGAATAAAAGGGGCCGGACCCATCACCCTTAAGTTTCATAGGCTAACTTAGAATTGGGATTTTTGTATGTATAATCCTTGTTAATTGCATGTCTAAGAACTTGAGATGTAATGGTTTCTAACAATTCCAAATTATAAGTCAATATAGGAAACCACTATGTAATTGTTGACAAGTAGTCTCTAAGCTGGTCAATACAGTATAACAAATATGTCTATCAAGCACTTAGGTACAAATGGACATATGTGACGCACAAAACTTGAGAGAAAATTAATGAAATGTTGAAAAGGACATGAACTCCCAAGGCTTCTATAAGTACAATTATTTAAAAAGTATGCTGGAGTTTTAAATCTCATGGATTGTTCTTGATTTAAAAGCAAGGAACAATTTATAGGATTTAAACTTTTATATAAACTCTTCAATTTTAACGCTGAGAGTAAGGGACAAGAAGACATGGGTCCAATAACATGCTAAATCCATCACCCTGTGGGTGTCTTACAAAAAATGAACCATTAATTTCACATTTTATTTAATTCTTAGAGACTGCATGTGGATAGTGAGGGTCCAGTATCTGAAACTTCATTCATTAAATGACTATTAATACATTATACATATCTTTAGATACAATAATTAAAAAATTATGAAAAAAAACTTTTTTAAAAATAAAACAGATAAATTGAAACAAATTATTACGTTATCATTGTCTCCACCATACTACTAGAATGATGATTCTTCTTCGTCTTCTTCTTTTTACTTTTAATTGAGAACAAGTTATATCAATCGAAATTAATTATTTTGAGATTAGTTATTTCATCCTCAATGTGAGATAAAAATATCATTATTTCCAAAATAAATTATATTCCAACTAAATATTAAATAAACTCATCCGAAATATAGTTATTCCTTATCTCTCCTACCAAACATGTTCTTACATGCATCTACAATTCAACAAAAGATGCAAGAAGAAAAATATGTTAGTAGTACAAAACTATAATTGGACTGTAACACATGACAAATCAACAACCTCAAACATTTACATGAGTTATGGTGCAGTAATTGAATTATTTTATCCTTAATCAGATATCTCGAGTTCAAGTTCTGAATATGGAGAAAATCTTATTGAAAACACTGCATCCAGAAAAAATTCTATATTAAGCAATCTAAATTTAATTGTAACTCCAACGACTCCAAAACAAATATGAAGTATCTTTAAATACATGTAAAAAGGACACTTCAAATATAACAAGAAACTGCTAAGAAATACCAAAGGAAGCTAATCAAAATTCAATATGTACAGAGTAATATTCAAAGAAACTCTGCAATTTGTAAGTTGTAACCATTAGATTTCAAATGCTACTATAAATTCAAACCCCCAATACATACAACATTTCTCTCCATATAACTATTTTACCTTCTATTACTAAAATATTCTTGAAAATAAAAACACAAATGGCCTTCTCTACAGCAAAATCTTTTGTACTTTCCACAACTTCACATAAAACCCTTTTTAGTACAAAACCTCATAATTCATCATATTTCTCCAAGAAAATTGCCCTGTCAAAATTTTACAATACCAAAAGGCCTCTATATATTTCAGCAGTGAGTGGAATTGGGCATGTTAATGAACGAAATGAATCAAAATCTTGCGAACCTTTAGTCAAAAAATACATTGTATATATAAGGTATTTTTAAGAATTTTTATATTCTATATATTGATTTTGAACGTTCTGAACATAAGATTAGAGGTTGACTTAGTGATCAAGGGGTTCAAACCTCACCTTGAGGTTCCAAGTTCAAATTGTTGACATGCTACTTTTTTTTCAAATCCTCTGAATGGAAATTCTGGATTCGCCACTGTTCGTTGTCATCAAAATTTTAGACTAATTATATGAGATTTATTTATTTTGCTAATGCTTCATAACATGCAGGGTTCATGGGAGCTATGATATCAAATTTGGCATTTGTATTCAGAAACATATTTTCAAAGAAAGGGATGAAAGGGAAATATGTTGGAGCAATGAATTACTATGCTTGTCTTTCCATGATGTCCCTTTTGATTCTTGCACCCTTTAGCCATTGCTGTTGAGGGTCCAAAAGTATGGGCACTTGGATGGCAAAATGCAGTCTCCCAAATTGGACCTAATTTTATTTGGTAAGCACACTATCTTACAAACTTATAGTAAAAAACATTATATAATCTCATTCCGTTTGGTCCTACGTTATTCAAACTTTTCAAAAATGTCATCAGATGCAATGTCAAATCCTTTGAAAGTAGTGCATTTATTGAGGATTTCAGACGGGTGTAGTAACATTTTTGAAGAGTCTGAACAACTTAAGTTTGGTCAATATTTTTATGCAAATTTTTTTGTTCTTGTTTTAGGTGGGTGGTGGCACAAAGTGTGTTCTATCACTTGTACAACCAAGTGTCCTACATGTCCCTAAATGAGATTTCTCCATTGACATTTAGCATTGGTAACACTATGAAAAGAATTGTTGTGATAGTTTCCTCCATCATTATTTTTCAAAATCCAATTCAACCAGTCAATGCCCTTGGTGGCTACCATAGCTATTTTTGGAACTTTCCTCTACTCACAGGTATTTCAGAATACATTTTTACCAAGTATATGTAATTGGCTCCTTATGTTACTACTTGGACTAATAAAAATATATCCAAATGAATCCAACACATGTACAAGGTAGTTGTTTGTTTTCATCATATGATTGGACGTGTTGAAGATATAGATAAAAATGTGTTTTCTCTAACAGCTGGCAACATCGATTTTAATACTTGGTCCTTTTTTTTTGTTTTAATTTTATTGCTATGATTTTTATGCAGGCAAAACAATTAGAGAAGTTTGGAAAAAAAGATGAATGAAGAGAAGGGGAGACTATGACTTAAGAGAGTTAATATATGGACAAACAAAATGGACTAATATTTTGTAATGGCCTAAGTCATCTCCAGCCACTCG